CCGATTCTTTTGCATGACAACGCCCGCCCACACGTTTCACAAATCACTATCCATAAATTGAACGAATTGGGGGTTGAAGTTCTACCTCACCCGCCATATTCTCCAGACCTTTCACCAACCGACTATCACCTTTTCAAACATTTTCAGAACTTCCTTGCTGGAAAATACTTCATCAATCAGGACCAGGCAAAAAAGCCTTCGTGGATTTCGTGGATTCTCGACCACCCAGTTTTTTCTTTGATGGGATTTATCGACTGGTGTCACATTGGCAAGTGTGCTGATTCGAACGGTGCTTATTTCGATTAAATCCGATGAGTATTAAGAAAGTTATGATCGTTTAAAGTGAAACACTCAAAACGCTGAGAACTTTCCGGACAACCTAATAGCTTCCACCTACAATTGGTTCCGATGTCCTGTTAGTTTAAAGTTATGATCGCTTCTTGTATCAGGAACTAAAAGCTCGAAGCACTCATACGATCAAAAAAAACAGCGTAATTTTACGCTCAACCTTGAGAAAATTACCTCGACCTGGTTTTGCATTCTTCGCCTTCCATGAGAATAATATTCCAGTCACTATTAATGCTAAGAGAATGAATCCGAGAACAACCACGGCGACGATGATCCTACAGAAACCCGAAAACATGTTAATCATAATATCTTTTTATAAGTCTTACACTACATATGTTCTGGTTGAAGGTCCTTATCTATTCATATTAGGTCCCACATCTAGACGGATAGTGTAGGTGTAGCCTACTGGTGAAGTTCTCCGTGACCCAGCTCTAATGAAAACTCCAGGTGGTATGGGCTAACGGATCCGTTCTTTCTTTATGAACATCTCCAAAGATTTTTCTCTAATCCAGAACACTTTAAAATGCAATATTTAACTCACGTGGGATCGCCTTGTTCTACCTTGTTTCTCTTTTCTGAAGCATACGGAGCTCTGTAATTCGTCAGATTCAGACACGTAGATCCGATATGCTGGAGAAAGAAGAGCAAAAATCTTCTGCGCTTTTTTTCAACTCGTTCCTAAGAATTTTAGTTGTCAAAACTCATCGCAATCCTCAAAGAAAACCTCCAGCTAAAATCACAGAAGCAGCTTCACATGAGAGTGTACAGTCTATTTGAGTACTATCCCGTTCCTGAGTGCTGCATAACTAAATGAATTTTCAGTTGAACTCCTGTGTCCAACCAATTTTCAATCTGCAGTACAACGTATACTAGGGTTTTTGCGCTATTTAAACAAGGCAAGCGCCACAAATCGATGACACGTTGCTTCTTCACGTAACGGCACTGAAAGCCAAATTGTTTGAATGTGAACAATGTGTAACGTTCCGCTTGCTCTATGCGCTCTGTTGCCAGTTACCTCAAGAACTTATTGATTATAGTCTAACGGAGTCCAAAAGAGTGCGACAGGCATGGTCAAGCATACGTCGCAGAACCCGCGGCGGGGAACATATGCCGTCAGATCCTATTGAACAGAGCACATATCTCCTCACCTCCTCAGTTATTACGGAAATATCGCACAAACAACCTTTTTTAGAGGTGGGGTCGTACCAACCACCCATTTTCCGCGACGTGATGCTTGATCCTGGATGCGCTCGGTCGGAATCTGCAAGTAATTTCGTAGGCCACATTGCGTGCAAAAGCCACAGCGATCCGCAATGGACGCGGAATGCATCAGGACCCAAAAAATGATCCAAGTGGTTAAGACTGTCCTTTTCTTGTTGAGAGAGCAGTAAGTGCGATTCCAAACACAGAACACACACCAACACAGTCAAATTAGTCAGCTCTCCGCTCCTTCGATGTCAAGTCCATAGTCTTTTTTTATCATACCATAAAGGCTTATCCCTACCACAACCGCTCAGACCAGGGCACGCCATTGCGTTGTGATCATTTCCTGAAAAATACGACCCCCCTAATTCCATCTTCAAGTACGACCCCCCTCCCCATGTTACCTCTTCCCTAGATTTTTCCAACCTCCTACCACTTTGTCTATTTTTTCCCAAAAAATTTCTGGTTTTTTTTACAAAATTTTGCTGTCGAGCGGGGGGGGGGTCGCAGTACCTACGTACGTCCCAAGCACGTCCAGCACTCTGGCGCTGGTGTAGCATACTGACAATACGTACGAGGAAGGGGCGATGATAGGAGCTACGATCACCGCCCACAAGGGCACCATGAATTTATAAACAATGGAAAGGACTTACGACTGACGATGAATAAACAGACGAAAGTACATTCCCGGACTTTTCTGATTGCAGGAGCACATTTGCTTGCAATTGGGAAGCCCTATCTAGAAGTTACACCTTCCAAACACCTGCGTGAAAGCCCCATGCATGGCGCATTGCAGAGGTGATGCCAATTGGCGCCCAATGGCCTATTTCCTGATACCCTTTGCGAAAACATGTGTTTTAGAAGCATACCAAAGTCTTCAAGCCAACTGGAGGTTTCATGGCCTCGGAGGGGCTGATTTTTCGTGTCGTGGGGGGTGGTCACGAAATGATCACAACGGGGAATTTTTTCGAATAGCAGGCCTAGGAAGAAAATTAAAGCCTTGCTGGAAAGTAGAAATCTTCAAGCTTCCGGCACAATTCTTTTTTTACGAAAGGCCGTGTATGAAGCTTGCCATGGACGTCCAAAGCGTAGCGACTCGCGGTTCGCAAAAATGATCACAGACGGATCACAACGATGATCACAACGGGGAAAATCTCTGGAATCGGAACGTTTTTGAAATCGCTCAATTCAGGTGACAAGAGCCAACCTAGCTCTACTCATTCCCACTTACCCCTCTCCGATAGCTTCACTTTCAACGAAGTTATGGGTGTTCAAATGAGGGGTACTTTTCACGTGTTTGGCTTGAAATTGGCTCCAGGCCGTAAAAGCGCGCGCACCAATGAGCTTGTATGAGCGCGCTGACCGCGAACAGCCAAAATTCAAAAGTAATCCATAGTTCCGGTTCCCAGCTGGCCTGGTGAGTTTTTTTCTTATCCATTTGATTGTGAATTATTTTGATTGTTTGTTTTTGTTGAGTTTGATTTTGTTTTGTTGAGTTGATTTTGTTGTGAGGAAATTGCTCAGGATTCAATTTCTACGGTTTCATAGGTAGCTTTTGCAATGGATTCTTTTCTAGATTTTGCGGATTAGTGGATTGGGATTTATCTAGACCAGATGAGGAGGGTTGGTGGGCGAAGTGTCTTGAAGTTTTTTTGTGAGGAAGGAGGAAAAAGTTTCAGCAATATTTTTTTTAGTTCTTGGCCTAGGAATAGTTCGATAGTGCCTAGTTCTATTTATTGTCATCTACATCGTCCCTTTTGAGCTTCTTTTCACTTGTGTGTATCACCGCTCTCTCCACTTCAACATGGGCCATGCGTTTACGACCCCCCCCCCCTCCATCGCGGGCAAATACGACCCCCCCCCGACCCCCCCCCGTTGTGATGATCACAAAGATGGCGTGCCCTGGTTCCGAGCGTCCGGCAGCGTCAGCGTTTATGAAAATATGGATATCGATCTAGCATCTGTCAGCGTCTCGAGGGCTAGAGAATTATAGGCTCCGATTTAGCATCTACCAGCGGCCACCAGCCTTCACCAGTGATAGGGAGCATCGGGAAAAGGTGTAGCAAACAATTGGATTGGGCGTTGTGAAATTGCGGCACGTGCAACTGCACCCAGCAGGTAAAGCACGAATTATTCCATTTAATGTACGGTGTAGTGTGGTGCTTGGTGCGGTTGCACACGCCGCAGGTTCACGACGCCTAATCCAGCTGTTTCCTACCCTCCTTCTCCGTACTCTCTACTCCCGGTAGCTGGTGAATGCTGGCAGAAGCTACATCGATATTTTTACTTTCCTAGTCGCTGATACTGTCGGGACGCTCGGAACGCTAGTGGCCGCAGATGACGCTGGTAGACGCCGGTGGACGCTGCCGCAAACTATGAACGCAGCCTTATACTAGTTGTCGGCGCAGACACTCCTCGTTTGAGGCGACCGGGTGAGAAATACAGAGCTATTCCATGTTATTCAGTACGACCCATCGTCAGCATTGTGACCCAACACATTCAATTACATTCACGAAGAGAAACGACTGACACATGTGGAAAATTTGAGGAACAGGCAGTAAAATTTTGTGGCACTGGTAAGGTATCAAGATTTGGTTCGACAAGTAGAATAGCAGTAGCTTTGAGGCTTACCAACGGAAATTAATGTGAAATAACCAAATATAGTGGGCTCACCCCTCTGATGACAGCGTTGAGAGATATCCCGTTGTTGATTCGAAGTATCCAGCAGTTTCAGTAGTCGATTCCGGAGACACTGAAGATGTTGTCCCTTCCGTTGGTTTTGCAGCAGTGGAGGTGGTCTCTGTAGTAAATGATTGACGCACAGTTGTTGAAGTGGTGGTTTCCTTTCGTACAATTGGAGGAACAACATCAGATAGTGTCGGCGGTTTGACAGAAGTGGTCGATGAAAGGGGTCCTGTTGTAGGCTCTGTGAGTTGTAGAGTTGTATTGAGATGTTTTGAAGATGATTCATGAGGCAGCACTTGTACCGTAGTATTAACATCTGCTGTCTCTGTCACATCTTCACCAGTTGAATGGGTAACATTGGAACCAGAGTCCAAATCCGTGGATGTGATGTTTGACGTTTGATTAGTCGCCACTGCTGTTTCCGTCATGTTCAGAACAGTCGTTATTGTCGGTGCGGTTGCCGTGTACGTAGTATCCACTGATGATGGTGTGGAGTGGATGGTAGTGGGTTTAGTGGATGGTATTATGGTTGCGGTAAAAATCGAGAATGCCTCAGTAGTTTCAGTGTCCTCACTCCAAGAGTAATCCACGTCACTACTTACAGTAGGAGTCTCAGTAGTACTCGTCCCTGATATGTTCCGTTCCGCCTTCGAGGAGGCTTGTCCGGAGAGTGTAGACACTGGGAACCATGTTGTTGCATTAGAGGCATTCGCACGCGTATCGTGAGAGTCTGTAAATGGAGGTGCTGAAGGTTGGTGTGAAGACCTGTTTCCGTCTATTTCCATGGGGAGTAGAGTGCTCAGATTTGAAGAGATACTTGTGGAAGTTTCGAAAGCAGTGGTATCGTTGGTCACATTCTGAGTCATCTTTTCTGAAATAGGTTCGTAGAAGCGCTACAGCACACCATCAAATCTGAAGACATGAAACGCGGCATCGTATAAGCATGTTTTTTTTACGATGCGCTTTCATACTGATGTGCGCCTCGAAGGCATATTGCACGATAATTTGGTACGGTTTGAAGTTATATCGGTTTGCTACATAGTGGGGAAAATGCTTACAAGAAGTGACACAAAAGCCTCTGTTCTACACCACTCAGAGAGCAAATTCGGACGAGTTTCCCGTTGGCATTGTGCCAACTCAGAACAGCATCAACGGCCGAGCGAATTGTCCAAATGGGCGGAGATCTCGGCCCTTGATGCTGCTTTGGTTCTCTGACCCTCTCTTATCAGGCATCAAGGCATGAGATCTCCGCTCCATTTTGACCAACTCGCTCGGCCTTTGATGCTGTTGCATTGTTCTGAGAACAACTGCGCTACGGCACATACGGCTGCATGTATGTATAATGTAGTTCGCTGCGGACGGTTGGACGTGTCAGGCGGGATGAGTTTGGTGCGGTGCCAAACCCGTTCTCCACCAATTGTTAGGGCGAGCAAATGATTATCATTAGTATTACTCGTTTTCTACCACTTTTTGTCGCATGCGCGCTTCAACAAGAAGGCAGAGAACGGCTTTGACGGGTGACACACTCATACTGCCTGACACGCCCAACCATCCGCAGCGATATAGCGTGTACTCATATTCTATGCAGAACCGCACCGCTTCACAGCATCCTCCGGACATTTGTGGGCGTGCAGGCGCGATTGGTCCGGGTCGGTGTGTTGTATTAGGGTGTCCACAAAGTTCGTTGGCCATTCGTTTTTTCAGAGCTGGTAAAGATATCTCACCAAGTTGAACTTACCGGTCCATGATATAATCTCCATGCATACCCACTACCTTTCGCCAACGATCGGGTAGAGAGGCAACTCCATCCTCCCAAAAGCTGGCCGGCCGCGACTCGGCCCAGTCCTCGATCACGTCCTCGAGGTCGCGCTCGTTCTTCAGCTGTTTTCCGTCCAAGAAATTTTGCATGGACCGGAAGATGTGGTAATCGCATGGACTAATGTCCGGGCTATACGGTGGATGCGTGATCGTCTTGATGCCCAGCCTGTCCAGGACGGCCTGAGTATCTCTCGCTTTGTGGGGGCGCGCGTTGTCTCAGAGCAACCACGGATTTGCAAGTTTCTGGGACAAGGCGGCAGCTTTCACCTTGACCTCCTGCAATTCTTTAGAGAGGGTCTCTGCCGTCACTGTGGCATTGTTGGGTAGGATGCTGTAGTGGACGACGCCGTGGCGAGAGAACCAGAAACCTCGGCATATCTTCGATGCCATAGTTTTCATTGGTGAGGCGAGTCCACCATTTTGACATCCAGTTCTTAGAAGGGGTGTTATTACCAAACTGCTGACGCATCCTGGTCGTGGCCTGACGTCTGGAGATGCCCAGGTTGTAGTAGTCCAGCAAACATCGGCGGTGGTGGTGACTATCACTCATCTTCACTGCTTTATTGTGGGAAGAGCAGGAAAGGAAATTTAGAGCTAGCTAGCTCAGAAGATAGCCCATCGCGAGTACTTTCAGTATTGCGAAATCTTTATGCAAAATCACAACGCGTTGCGTAACGCGACGCTGTTTACAAATGGCCAACGAACTTTGTGGACACCCTAATAGCTTGATAGGGCGTTGCGGGAGAACATTCCTAACATTAGAGAAAATCACTCGCAGCGCTCGCTTGGGGGCGCTGAAACCTGTCCTGCACGGCGTATCAATCCCACACGTCTTGGGATTTACTCGTGCCACTTGCCTCTCAACTTTCTTACTTTTTCGCCGTTGAAAACGTCGCACCTTGCGGGGTAGACGCCTTGTGATACCGACGCGAGGCAGAGTCACTACGAAGCGAAATTGCTACAAGGTTGCTCTCTCTCTTTTTTTTCTGTTCTCGGTCTGTTACACGAAAGCGGTGACTCCAGTTAATCGTTCAATCGGTATGATTCTCTGAATAACGAACTTCCACGTTTCCCCCCCCCCTCTGGTAAACGGCTCGTGAGCCCTTATAGTGGGGTCCACTGACCGTTCACGACTCCCTGCTTCCAAACCGATAATTTAATTTAATAACGACCGACTGGCTGGGACCTTACAGAGTTCGACATTCGGTGAGGATTTCTTTGCCTCGCCTGCGAACTGCCCTGCAACCCGCGAGTTTTTTAATTTGAGACAGCCCACGTCGGTGCATGCTCGCCCACTCAGAAAGTGCTTCATGGTTGCGCATATTCACTCAATCTTTCCGCTCGGATGGGAACGCTACTAATGGATTACACAAAGTGATAACAGCTGGTAAGAGGTGTAAGAAGAGGAAAGTCGCCAAATTTGTGGTGCGGATCTCAAAAACAGTGGGATTTTAGTTCTAGGAGTGACATGGATGATGGAGCGTAGACCAAAGTCACTGAGTGACGGGGGTGACAATGATAAAGGCAGACAGGCGCGTTGAAGAGGAAGAGTACCGAAACCAAAACTGCACTTTCTCTCAAATGCTAGCGCCCGTCCCGGGACTGAGGTGTGATCCCATCTTTCGGGACATCATAAAGTATGGGATGGGGACACTGATGGTTTTCGAGAAAAACTAATGTCAATGGATCAGGCAAAAGAGTTGTGTTCTAAAGGCAGAGCCCACGATCAGTCATTACTGTTTGAGCTCATCTCACGGAGAGCTACCGTTGACTTCAACAAACAACCGTTTACGAGTTTCACTCCAGAAAGTAGTAAGGTAGCGGCGTAAAGTCGCAAGGTTGCAACGCAGTTACCTTGGCAGGTGGAAGGTTGATTCCGCCCACAGTGAAAGATGTCTGATCTGCTGTCTTGCTCGTTGCATACTCTCTCGCTGCTTTGGTTGGCCTCTCGCTCGATATCCTCGTCGATTGTTTTCTTCTCCCTTGGCACAAATACCGGGGCGCTTTTGACGGTTTCCTTCCATTTTTTCTTTACGAGAAAGTCAACCAGTTCATATACCTCTGTTTCTAACGCCGCTACCTATGAACTTTTTCTTGTACGAAGTCTGTCTTTAAGGGCAGCATCTACAACAGTACTGACGATAACTTCGCAGATATGGCGCAAATTATACTCTCAGTGATTGATGCGTAGATTTCTACTTTCTCATCTATTCATGAGGCCGATATCAATGGATTCATGGGCTGCGTGGTTAATTTTCGAGGAGTTCTGATGAGCAGCAAATGACCTTACCACTGGTACTATCTATATTTGCCATTCATTGACAGCATCAGTAAGCACCATTTGAAGCGTTCTGTAGCAGTGTGCTGGTGTGCATGCAGAAGTAGATCGGTCTAAGGCCACAGAAGGCAGAAAGATGACGATGGCGAGTGATACTGCTCGGTGGCGATGACACATAAGACTGTCGGGCACTTCTATGGCCTAATGGGCTGCAGAGGTTTTGTAAGTTGCTGAGTTATTGTTATGGCCAGGGAAAAGAACGGAATATTTCAGACGGTGAGGGCTACAGCGAAGTTCACACGACAACGCGCGTTAGATAAAATGGTTCTGTCCTAAATCCTACTACATGTAATCCGCTATGTCCGTGCGTGTGTATGTGTGTGCGTCTGCCTGTTTGTCACGAATTTCATAGCGCCCAGTAGCAGTGAGACATTGGTTCCAAGGAGTGATGTAGGGGTGTGACGGGAACACTATTGGTGGGTGACAGGAAGTGATATCAGTTGATAAGATCCGATAAGAGGCGTTAGAAGAGGGAGGTCACCATATTCATAACGCGGGTGACAGCATCAGCTAGCTCTTGATTCCAAGATATGATAAGGGTATGGTAAGAACATTATTGGTGGGTGACAAGAACTGTAAGCTGCTGATAAGATTCGATAAGGGGCGTTAGGAAGGTGAGGTCATCGTATTCACACGCAGGTCACAGCATTAGCGAGGCGTACGTCTGACGTGAATCGTGGGTGACTGGAAGCGATAACTACTGATAGGGGCTGATAAGGGAAGTTGCAGTCGTCGTCGCTGTTCAAGGTGGTTCACGCTACCAAATCATAGAGATTTAGTGATGAGGACATTGATGACGGGTGACAGGTAATCTTATCAATCGATAAAGATAAGATACCATCTGCGCTACATTTTTATCACTTCTTACCGCTATAATGCCGAGTATTAGAGGCTCAGTGTGCAAACCCTTTCCTTTGATGGCAAGAGAGTCAACGAGTATTTGGTTTTAGATGTATGCAATGGTGTCGAG